GGCTGGGCGCCGACTGCGGGCGTGGCGGTCGCCCATGCACTTCCTGCTGGGCTGGCTGGCGCTCGCCGACATGGCGCTCGCTTGGCACCGTGGCGCCGCGCATGGCGCGGACCTCCTGCGCGGGGGGGCGCGCTGGTCTCCCCTCCCGCTGGGGCTGCGGGCTGCAGATCCGTCTCACTTCACTCCAGCCGCTGACTGGGGAGACGAGTGCTTCCCTCGCCTGGCGCCATGGCCTTACGACCGCGTACGTCGGCCGTGGTGCCGCCCGCTGCGCTACGCCGCCGTCATGAGCCGCCGCGCCTGCTGGCGCCTGGTGGCCGCGGCCTGGCTCTTCGGGCTGGCGGACGGGCTGGCGCAGGCCGTGTCCGCGCTGCGCTTCCCCTTCTGCGGCGCGCGCGACATCGACCACTTCTTCTGCGAGGTCCCCGCCGTGCTCCGGCTGGCGTGCGCCGACACGGCGCTGTACGAGACGCTTTCATCCGGTGAGCCTTAAAATTTTATTTCAGTTCACATGTGGGACTCCCGCGGGCTCATATGTAACTAAACACGCTTATACTGGTGACGTGTGAATCGGATCGACTGTGCTCAGCCAGCTTTTTACATTTTCAGCGGGGCTCGTCTGTTTCTCTTCCAGGTAAAGTACAGTCGAGCCATCCAGGTTCCCGGGCGCAGACCTAGCCCAGTGCCCCGCCGCGGGGACACCTGCCCAGGAGCTTCCTCAGCGCCCCGGCCACCTCCTTGTTCCTCAGACTGTAGATGAGCGGGTTGAGCACGGGGGTGACCAGGGTGTAGAAGGCCGAGACCACCTTGTCCCTGGGCCTGCGGAGTGGTAGCCTGGCGGACCGCATGTAGTGACCACTGGCGGCCCCGTAGAAGAGGCGAGACCACCGCCAGGTGCGCGACGCAGCAGTGGCCGAAGGCCTTCCGCCGGCCGCGCGCGGAGCGCATGCGCAGCACGGCCGCCAGGATGCGCAGGTAGGAGGCGGCCACGGCGGCGAAGGGCAGCAGCAGCATGAGCACGCAGCACACGTAGATGAGCGTCTCGTACAGCGCCGTGTCGGCGCACGCCAGCCGGAGCACGGCGGGGACCTCGCAGAAGAAGTGGTCGACTGGTCGCCCCGCGCGCCGCAGAAGGGGAAGCGCAGCGCGGACACGGCCTGCGCCAGCCCGTCCGCCAGCCCGAAGAGCCAGGCCGCGGCCACCAGGCGCCAGCAGGCGCGGCGGCTCATGACGGCGGCGTAGCGCAGCGGGCGGCACACGGCGACGTAGCGGTCGTAGGCCATGGCGGCCAGCAGGAAGCACTCGTCCCCCAGCAGCGTGAGGAAGGAGAGGATCTGCAGCCCGCAGCCCGCGAGGGAGACAGCGCCCCCGCCGCGCAGGAGGTCCGCGGCCATGCGCGGCGCCACGGTGCAGGCGAGCGCCATGTCGGCGAGCGCCAGCCAGCCCAGCAGGAAGTGCATGGGCGCGCAGCCGCAGTCGGCGCCCAGCCGGAAGTGCGTGGGCGCGCAGCCGCAGTCGGCGCCCAGCAGCAGGAGCAGCAGCAGCGGCGCGTTGCCCGCCAGCGCCGCCAGCAGCGCCAGCAGCACCGCGGCCGCGCCGGCCGGCGACGGCGAGCCGGGGGACAGCCCCAGGAGCACGAAGTGCGGCACGGGCGTCCAGTTCCCCGCCGCCCAGGCCATCCGCCGCGACCTGCAAGCAGGGGGTCCGCGCTCAGTGCCGCGCAGGGGCGGCGCGGCGACCTCGCTTCTAGTTTCCAGAACACTGTTTACCGTTCTTCTCTCCTCGTTACTCACCTGTGTCACGTGTGTGGTAACTCATTCTATGGATTTTGGAGGGATGGTGATCGAGTATGTTTAATCAGCCGTGTTGGTCCAGAGGTGGAGTTCTTTGCACATCCTGGTTCTCCAGACCCTGGGTACTGAAGGTAAGCCTCAGTAATCCTCAGGCTGCAGAGACAGAAGACTACAGGGCTATTCTTTTTTTTTTCTCTTTTTTTTTTTAGACAGAGTCTCAGTCTGTTGTCCAGGCTAGAGTGCGCGTGCGTCAGCCTCGCTCACAAGCCCCAAACTCCTGGCTCAAGTGATCCTCCTGCCCGAGCCTCCCGATGTAGCTGGGACTACAGGCAACTGCCACCACATACGCCCTGCTGAATGTTTTTATAAGTAGTTTTAGTGATCAAGGCTAATTTCCTTTCTATTTTCTTAGTAGCGACTGGTCACTCGCTCTTGCTCAGGCTGGTCCCAAATCCTGACCTCAAGCAATCCTCCGCCTCGAGCTCCCTAATAGCTGCGGACTTACCGTATGGCGCCACCCGTGCCGAGTATTTTTTCTATAATTTCTTAGTAGCTGTCCAGCCAGTTTTGATTATTTATTTTAGTCAAGATCGGGGTCTCGCTTCTTGCTCAGGCTGGATCTCCACTCCTGAGCTCCAAGCCGACCGCTCCCGTCATCGGCCTCCCAGAGTGCGGGGAAC